ATCTTCAAGAGAGGCGCAGCACTACTTGCATGAAAAGGACATTTTGTTATTTACTTCTTTCCTAATCCATATTGAAAAACATTTATTCAGGTAAGAGATCCTAAAATGATGGTGCTCTGATATATATTTTTTCTCATGATCTCATATATATCAATGATTATCCAATTATACTTATATTAATGTATTTGTAAAGCTCATGGACCCATGAAAATAACAGGCCAATAATGGCAACATGAAGGGAACTCGAACTCATGACTTCTCAAAATCAGGAAGCAAAGAACTTCTCCTTTGTTATATGGCTTTATCTTTATATAGGGCTGATCACTGATCATTGTTATTGGCCATATATATGTTGCACTCTTTTTCTTTCTTCTTATTCTTCGGCCAGTGGACAAACAAACTTAATCTTTGTGTGTACGTGCTCATATGTCTACAAATCATTAATGCTTATGTTCTCCATTGGTACTCTGGATTATGGAATTATTCAAAGCGACGGCACAGCAATCCAGTCCCCACTCCTAGTTCCACCCCACATATCATAGGTAATAACATGTACATCCATTGAATCTTAACATAAACTGAGTTACTCATGTATTCCCAAAATAAAATCTAATAGAAACATAGAGCATTACATTTTGGAGTCTTTCAAATTCGTCCTGGCTAATCTTTGAGATCTCTGTTTGCTCAGCAAGTGCTTCTTGTAGTTTCCATATCTGTGAAAGTTGAGTAATACATTGGAACACTCAATCATGATTAATCAAGCCCTAGAAGTTTAGATTATTGGCTCATAGGAGGAATACTGAAGGGAACTATAGGCCCGGCATTCACTAAACAAAACTGAAACTGCAAGATAATCACCTCATTAGCCAGATCTGCTTTGGGCATTTTCTTTACAGTATCAGAAGAAAATGTATTGTACCTGTTAACAAACAAATGAATGCAGATCAGCTAACTAAATAGAGTAGTGCTTGCTCAATACACTATTACACGGCGTTCAATAACTTTATAGCACTAGAACTGAAAAGGCAACTATTAACACCTAGCCAAACATA